GTTGCCCTGACCCAAGTGCAGGACCTTGCCCTTGGAATGGGACATCTCCCCATTTATCAGCATTTGCTTGCACACCTTTGCAGAAAACTCTCCTGTGGTGGAGCTCATCCAAGCAGGCAGGTTGGTGCAGCTCTTACTGTGACCTTCTTGGTGTCACTTGTGCAGCCTGGCACTGAAACATCTCCTGGAGCAGTTCCCATCTGGCCTGATCAAGCCTTTGTTGTTCTTACATGCCAGCTTCAGGTCACAACACGGAGCTGAGTCCTTATCCTCACAAGGACAGGGACATTCCCAGTGGGAAACCCTTCTCTGCCCCAACCCTGGCTCTGTCCCCCATCTGTGCTGGCTTCACGTGCTCTTCCATCCAGCTGCACAACCCTCACAGACTCTTTCCTTGCAGCTGCACTGATGAAGACATCCAGATGCGCTTGGTGACGAGGTTTGTGAACGAAGCAGCCCTGTGCCTGCAGGAAGGGATCCTCAGCAACCCCGTGGAGGGAGATATTGGTGCTGTGTTCGGCTTGGGCTTCCCACCATGCCTTGGAGGTGAGCAGGTTCAGCTGGGGTTTGGGCTGGGATGCATGGCTTGGCTGAAAAGCTTCATAGTGGGCTTGCCTGGTGGTCTCTGGCCACCAGAGGAGAGTCAGCTCTTAAGACCAGGTTAGAGCTCCAGTCTGACAAGCCTGAGTGTCCTTCTCCCACGTAAAGCCTGAGACAGAGATGTTGCTCCAGCATTCCCACCCCAGGAGAGGTGGTAGTGAGCCTGAGAGCTGCTATGAGAGGTTTCTACCAGGACCCAGTGGAGTTCCTCTGCTGGTAGAGCTGTTTTACAGAGCTGTGGCTGCTGAGGATCAAGGGCCTCTAGAACCCATGTCCCTCAGCACTGTGTCTACACGACTCTTCACTCCCTCCAGAGATGGGGACTCCACCACTGCCCTGGGCAACCCCTTCCAATGCCTCAGAACCCTTTCAGCAAAGAAATTCTTCCTCACATCCCATCTCAACTGCCCTGGCCACAACTGGAGCCCATTTCCTCTTGTCCTGTCCCTTGGGCCTTGGTTGAACAGACCCACCCCCACCTCTCTCCACCCTTTCAGGGAGTTAATCCCTGTTTTTTGTGCAGCTGCAGGTGTCTTGCAGCACTTCTGGAAACCTGGTCTTGTGCTGCCAACAGAGTTAAGAAATGGTGCCCAAGGATGCACCGTTCCCCCCATGCCTGCACACAGCACAGGTGAAGCTGAGCTGATACCCTCAGCCATGGTGCTTTTCAAGCCAAGGTGCAGCCAAAATCATGGGCAAAGTTCTCCTGGACCCATCTGTAACCTGGCTGGGCAGTGGAGGAAGCATGAGCTGAGGTTTGGGTCACAACTGAAGGATACTAAGGGCTCTTGGGCATGAGGTGGTGGTTCTGCTGCCTGGTCCCTCCTGGAGACAAGCTCAGCCTAAGGGAACAGTCCCAGTTGTCTGTGTCCCATCTTGTCCCTAGAAATCTGGTCTGGTGGGCAGGCAGGGAGCAAGGTCTTGCCTTGTGCTGCTGAGAGGCTGGAGATCTTTTGAGGTCCCTTCCAATCCCTAATATTCTGTGATTCTGTGATCTCTCTTGAAGAAGGACTTGAAGATTGGCTGAATCTAGTGCTCTCACCTCCCAGGAACCTTGGTGCCTCTCACTTCCTTGTCACAGATGTGTCCCCTTGTCCCCTGCAGGTCCCTTCAGGTTCGCAGACTCCTATGGAGCCAAGCAGATGGTGGACAAGCTGCGGAAGTACGAAGCCATCTACGGCAGCCAGTTCACACCCTGCCAGCTGCTGCTGGACCATGCCAACAGCCCAGGCAAGAAATTCCACCAGTGAACGTGGCCTGACACCGTCCACCCGTGACACCCCCGAGAGCTCGAGCCACCGGCTCTCCAGCGACACCCCATTCTCTAGGTTAATCTGCAAAGTACCCGAGGGAGGCAGGGAAGGAAGGAAGGAGGGGGACAGCAGATTGCCACGTGGCTTGTAGTCATTTCAAGTGCCTTATCAGCTACGGAGCGTTGGGCATATCCATCCTGTGCCAGTCTGGGCCTGGGAGAGAGAATTTCTTACTGGGAGAGAGAATTTCCTCTGTGTTCCTCTTCATGCTGTGACCTCCAGAGCTCCTGGTTTGGCAAACAGCACCCAGCTGGCCCCAAGGCTTTAACTTTTCCATCAACCTCCACCAAAATAAATCCCCATCTCCTGGGTTTGGACTCCACCATGCCTGCTTCTCCTCCCGTCTCGCTGGGGCAGCAACCTCTGGGCACCGAGGAAAGGAACCGCTCGAGTCGGAAATAAAGCGTTCAGGCAATCTTCTGGGGTCCTCTCCCTGCTTTGCTGGGACCCACAGAGGGGCTGCTGGTGGTTGTGGGAGGGGGGGGAAAGGGGCCAGTGGAGAACAAAGAGCCACTCTGTCACCTCTGCCATCAGTCTGGGGCTGTGAGGAGCCTCTGGCTCCTTTGTCTGGCCCCGAGCGCCGCCGCCGCCCACCCCGCCGGGGTGATGCTGGCAGATGGACCCGCCTGTAATTGCAGATCAAGCAGCCAAAGGCCAGAAGGGTCCCCCGTGGGGACAGCTCGGTTGTAACTAAAAGGCTTTAAATCTCTGTCCACCTGCCAGTGATTGCAGAGCTGGCCTGGCCTCCACCTCCCGCCTCTCCAGCCCTTTTCCTGCGCCCTGGCAGGGATTGGGCCGGGAGCCTGGGTGTTGCTGCTCTGCTCACGTCATGTCTGTGCTTGTGTTTCAAAGCTACCAGGACAAAGTCAGGCTGAGACATCGTCTCATCCCGTGTCTGCTGCCTGCTGGGGAGGTACCTGTGGAGCTGGTTCTCAGCCTTCAGTGCTCCCCATGGTGATGCCATGTCCACCAGACCTGGAATCACAGAGTCATTAATGTTGGAAAAGCCCTTGAAGCTCATGGAGTCC